TGTCGAGGAGGAGTTTCGTGGCAAGATAGATATCATATTTCTCTTTTTTCTTTCTCTTCTTTACCTTCTTTTTTTTTTTTTGAAGAATGGATGCCTATTTATACTTTTTTTTTATGTGACACAAGTTATAAATAGTGAGACGATTAATAGTAGGTTGTGAGTGTTTCGGATGGACGGCTGATATCGGTTCCCTTGATCATAGACTGTTTGTCACGTATTCAAGTATCTTAATGATATCAGAATTTAGAGATCTTAGGCTCATTGAATTTGTCTTGTCGAGCTGCTCGATTCAACTATAAGCATGACACATTTAGAAATCATTTGGTCGTCCAACTTATGCTTTAAAGTTTTTACATTCGCTTCGGACCCTCGATTGGGACCCATTTGGGCTCATATTGGATCGAATTTAGTGTCGTTAGGTTCCTCTTTTCGAGATGTTTAGTTCAATTATAAGTTTGAGGTAATCAGAGTTTGGATGATCTTGGAATTGCTTTAAAAAAATTTATTTAATTTTGCTTAGAGATTCGTGCCCAAATCTCGCCCGGGTTCTATTTTTTATTCAGATGTTTCTGGGTCCTTGAAACTGTATTTTGATGTTCCGAACTAGATTTTGAAACTTTTAGAAACCAACAGAGCCTCTACAGACCATTTCGAGCAATTTCTATAGTTTGGACCATAAAATTTCAAAAAACTTTGCTCCAATAAACGCACTAACTTCATGACATTCTCAATTTATAATTAAGGGTATTTTAAAAGGTTCATTGACCCGAGGGGATGTTCACGTCAACGTCTATGGAGTGGTTGCACCTAGTAATTACCTATAATTTGTATTTTTGCATTGAAACAATTCGAAATGTTTTGACATGTATTTCAAACTCTGCAAGCTTCGACGTCTAAAAATTTTAGGGCAACTAATATATCTTTAAAAAATTATCTTGATTGGGCACGAATCTCGAGGCAAAATTAAGTAAAAAAATTTCAAAATTAATTTCGGGACCAACCAAACTCCGATTCTAATTAAATACCAATATTAATATATTCTAACATGCAACAATTTTAATTGTACTTTTTTTTGAACATTTAGACTAATTAAAATAAGTCACATATATATCATATACGTGAGATTCAAATAAAAAAAATTATTAATAGCTAAAACTTCCAACCAATCAATAAAAATAACTTACCTATCTTAATTATGCTTCAATCACCGGAGAAAAAAAGCAGTGACATTCCTTTCTCGGATTCAAGCTGCAGCATAGAATTTACATCTGAGTTAGAGTTAGAGCAGTGCTTTTTATATGATTCATTAAAACTATATGAAAGAGGACCCATTCGGTGACTTTTTGATGAATCGTATTATCAATTAATTGTAGCTACATATAAAGACATGACAGTTGCACGAAGTGATAGAAGTAATCAATTGAGTGGTGGACTCATATATTTGCCGCAAGAACTACAGATTTTCTCCCAAGCAATCATAAAATTTCTCTGTATAGTTGCAGTTGTAAATTATATTTTTAAACATTATTCTGTGAGAAATTAATATGAATTATAACTTAGCAAATATCTTGAAATTTTTTAAAGAGATGATTATTTTATTTTTGCAATTAAAGTTAGTTAAATGATTTCATTTTTATATTCAAAACAAATGAAAATTAGATTATATCTTATTTAAGTTCATGATTACAAAATAATAAATATATTTATTAATAAGTTCTAAAATAGAATTTTGTAAGAATAAAATTTAAAATTATTGATATTATATCAATGAATTTTTAAATATTACTATGTCAATCTTATTTATTAAATATTAGAATATAATAATATAATTAATCGTTGTTAATAGAAAATGAATATTCAACAAATTAAAATAACATTTTAGTAAATTTTTTAAAAACAATCCTTTACTCATAAATGAACATAAATTTGTTCAAAATATTTTAGTATGATTTATTTTAAAAAATAATTCTTTTATTTTTTGTATTGAAAAATTTTCATTCGAATTAAAGTGAAATAAGTCATTTATGGTTAAAGTTCACCAGCATATAAGATTAGATATTTAAGATGATTAGGATAAAAGAGATTTTATAAGTAGAGGTAGCAAAGATAGATGCAAGGCACACTTTTTTTACATTAAAAAAATTTGATATATATATATATGGTTGGGAATTGAGCGTTATAAAATGTATGACTATATAAAAAATAATATATATATATATATATATATAACTTGATGAAGTCATTTTTCAATCTCTTAAGAAATTGTGGGCTTGAAGTCTATTAATGGTCAAATAGCATAATAGTTGATTAATAGTTTATCTTATGAAGGAATTCTTTCCCATGAGCGGTAGCTAAGGCCGAGTTTATAGATCATACTCGTCTTGTTTGGATGTGTTCTGAGATTGTATGCATCATAAACTTGAGGCCATTTTTCTGTTAGATCGGAGAATTTCTTTGAGCTAAGGCCATGTAGATTGAGTCAACTTGACTAGAATCAAAATTTTTTTGAATATGTTATATATATATATATATATATATATATATATATATATATGTATATATATGACTAAGGTGCTTAATACCTTCTAATCTTATCACATCACCTCATGAAATACATACTATGAAATGCCTTATCATCTATGTTTTGTCATAGTGGTTATCATCCTAGTTGGTTTTTGAGTCTCAAACCTCAAAGTCCATACTTTTGATCCCAATAGCAACGAAGTCAAGCTATTTATAATCAAGATCCTCTCCTAAGTTGTAGTCATACCCAAGAATCTCTTCTATCACCAAAGAGTAGCTCACAATTTCTTCTTAAGGGTGAATCCTTAATATATCTCTGCTGGAAACTTAGTTCTATGAAGCCTTGCAGCTTTCATAAAGGACATTAATGTAAACAACTCTTTGCCTCTAAGGGGTAACTAACTATATGGTTATAGCTATGGTTAACCAAGATACATTCAAGCTCAAGTAATTTGAAATAAAAGCACTATTTCCAAACTTAAACTGTAACAAACCTTCAGAAATATTATTAACAATCCAATGTATGCAAATTTATAATTTATTCTTCTTGTTCATAATACTTCAAAAATATTGATGTAATCGTGCTATAATCAAAATAATAATTTAAATCATTTTTTCTCAAATTTATCCAAACATTCTCTTTTCTGAGCAAGTTCAACTATGATCTCGAAAGATAAAAATGATATAAAAATTGATCAACAGCTTTACTTTTCAAACTGTAATTACAATTTTGTATGACTATTCTTTTGAAAGTTTTTTTTTTTTTTGTGCTATTAAATTGTATTTTAGAACAACTTTGAAAAAAAATATTATCTCTACAACAGCTTTACAATCATATTTATAAAATATTGCAATCGCACCAAACAGCCCCTAAGTAGTAGTTAACTCCTTTAGTAAACTTTGACATATAATTAATAGAATTTTTTAATTTATACTTATTTTTATTTATCTGTAATTGATTTTAAATATCGTTTCGAAATAATAAAATAATTAAAAAATAACTGTGTTTTATGTGAGCTTTTTTATTATTTATTTGCAAGGCATATTTATGTGGTCATTCAAACGGAATCGTTCATTTATATAATTTTTTAAATATTCCCAAGAAGACAAAGCTGCCTCTCTAACCTTTTTCACCGTTCTATCTCTGCTTTGTTGGCAGTGAGAAGGACTCCACAGTGGCATGTTTCCGACCAACAAAACTAGTCATCGCGTGCTTCGTAGTAAAGTAAAAGTGAAAATTCAAAATAATTTTAACAAAAAAAAATATATATATTTACGATAAAACAAAAGTAATTTTAATGATATTAAACTGAATTATAAGAAAAGCCATAATTGCTAAATGCTGAGTTAAATATATTTACTTATAATGCAAATATTAAAGAGAGCTTAATGATGATGTAAAGTATCATTTTTATAGAATTAAAACCATCATACCACTTTATACCATTTTATTTACGCATCTAACGTTCAAAACTTTAATATTACATACATACCATCCAATATTATTTTAATATCAAATATGTCACTCATATTTCATTCCTAACACTCATATATTTCATTTATATTACTCATATTTGATATGAAAGTGAACTATGGATAATATGTATGTAATATTAAAATTTTAGATGTTAGATATATAAATAGAATAATATATGGTGGCATGTATGTAAATCTCCATTTATTTTTTGTATATATTATATTTTAATTTATATAATATAATTTTAATTACAAAAATATTTAATTTGTGGCTCATTCAAAATTTTAAGCTTTAGTGTTATAACCTATTGCCAGGTCCCAAGTCCTAGATGAGAAAAGTAAAGGGTTGCGTTAGATAGTCGACAACTAGTATAAAACATGTCGAATAGTCATGTGAAGGACTTGACGTTGTTGTTGTAGTTAGTGTTATAAACTATTGAGAAATATCTATGATATATATTTTTTAATAATCAATTTTTGCATCAGCCCAAACAATTTTTTTGGTTTTGTTGTTGCTCTTTCCAATAATCTATTTTTCTAATAATTATTGGTCATTACATTAGATCTAATCAAGATAATTTTCTATGACATATCAAAATTTAATTGTTTCTTACTATATATTATTCTCACATCAAAATAAATATAATAATTTCAAATTTAATCACAATGAAAATTTAGCCAAATATTCTAACTAAAAATTTTTCATTATTCTAACAATCTTCCTCACTCTTATTCTAACTAAAAAAATTTCATTATTCTAATTCAAAATACTAATATAAAATAATAAAAATAATATTTATATTATATTATATAAAAAATACTTCCTCTCTCTTATTTTTTCAAATCATTTAGCTATTTTGCTCCTTTTAAATTTTTTATTTAAATACGCCCCTGTAAACTAATTTTAATAAATAACATGCTCCCTTTTAAAATTTTTGACTCTAAAAATATCAAAATATAAAAATAAATAAAAATAATTGCATAAAAACACAAAAGTTCCGACCACTTTACAAATCTTCCCTCAAAAACTCCACATCCTTGCATTGGGGAGAGCGCATAACCCTCCCAAGAAATCCCCTTTCAACCCATAGAAAAGTCTCTAAGATCACACTTACCATGTACATATTCCAACCATCATAATCCTATAAAAAGACTAAATAAAATTACGTCAAATTTTATTAAAAAAAAAAGCTGTCAACTTCCATATGGCCGCTTTGCTTGCTCCAACATCTGCACCACCTCCCTCATCGTCGGCCGCTCGACGCTCCTCTGCTGCACGCACAGCATCCCTACGAAGAAAACCTGCATCGCCTCCTCCAAAGGAATGTTCGCCAGCCGCTTATCCCAAATCTCCACCACCGCCTCCTTATTCCAGTTCGTAAACATCTTCGCCCACTGTACAATATCAAGGCCTTCCTCTCCAAAATCTCCGACCGCCCTCTTGCCGCTTATCAGCTCCAGCAGCACAACTCCGAAGCTATATACATCGCTCTTCTCGTCCACCTTCAACGTGTACGCATACTCTGCATTAAATAAACTACAGATCAGTTTTGTCTTTTTTTAGGTGTGGAGAAGATAAAGGCCTGGATCCCAATCAGGATTTCTAAGAGTCTGTGCTATCTTTGATTCTCGAGTAATGATGATTTTGGGTCAAAAAAGAAATTTAAGGGCCCATCACTGAAGAAATCGATTTTCATAAGGATAAAGCTGAGTGCTTTGGCCCACCTGACCTGTAATTTTTTTCAGATTTTGAAAGAATAGTCTTGGCTCGCAAGCAGAAGAACATTTTGATCTGTCCAAGGAAGACCTTGCAGGCCGGCATATATACATTTATATGCTAAATCAGGGGCAGTTTTGGCGTTGTGAATTAATTGGAAGAAAGAAGACAGATTTTGGTTTTATATTTTCATCATATTGCAAGTTTTTTTGACTTTAGCAGATAATAAATGTTGTCTGTCAACTTGATTCAACAGTACGCAATGTCGCAAAATTGTCTTATTTATAGTAAATGTTGAAAACGTCCGGTCTACTTTTAGACATCATTATTTTTAAAATATATTTTTAATCTAATTCTAATAATCTTTTGTATCATTCTAATTTTTATACTAAAAAGTTATTTTAAAAAGCATTAAAAAAATTATAGACGAGAGAAATTATTTCGTGAGCCCGGACATAGAACTACATCTGTACTCCAATAAAAATATGACATATGTCATTGTACACTGTGTCTATATACAACTGTGTACATAATATGTATATATTATACATATATATATAAGTTTGTACACATTATATACATAATTTTATATTTTGTATATAATGCATATAAAGTTGTACACACTATATACAAGAACACATGTCATATTTTTATTAGAATCTGAATATAATCGGACTCTGCATGTAATACTTTTTCCTCAAACGAAACTTTTGTGTAGACAAAAAAAAAAAATTATATGAGATACTCATGCACTATCTTTCAGCCTTATTATATGAGGTTTTACGTGAACAACAAAAATCTTAAAAGAAAATTCTTATAAATAATTTATCAGTCTATAAATCTCAATATAGAAGCCTGATAATGATAAATTTCTTTTACGTCCACAGATTTGAGGTTTCTAATAGCATCCAAGTTCTGATAAAAATATTTAAGGAAAAAAAAATTACCTGGAGCGATGTAACCATATGATCCTGCAATGGCGGACATGCATTCCGAAGCTCCAGAATCCCTTAAGAACTTAGCCAACCCAAAATCAGCAACATGAGCTTCAAAATTTTCATCCAGCAATATATTGTTCGATTTGACATCCCTGTGAAGAATTAGAGGACAACAATCATGGTGAAGATAGCACAGTCCCCTGGCTGCCTCTGTTGCAATCCTCAACCTCATCTCCCACTTCAGATACCCACCTCTCTTCCCATGAAGCATTTCTCCTAAGCTTCCATTAGGCATGTATTCGTACACAAGAAGGTTTGTCTCCTTGTTCCGGCAAAAGGCAAGCAACTTTACTATATTTCTATGGCGGATCTTCCCCAACGTCTGTATCTCCGCCGTGAGTCCGTTGTCGTGCGTCGATCCTTTGTTTATTCCCAGTAATCGCTTAACGGCCACGTGTTCGCCGCCAGGCATCGTGCCGCGATAGACAACGCCGGCGCCGCCGCGGCCAATGACGCAGTTTTCCTTAAGGCAGTCGGCAATGTCGACGGCGGAGAAGTTGAGCTTCCCGAATGCGGTAAGACGCCAAGATTTAGAGCTTTTACGGATGATGGAGCGAGTTTTGACGGCGACAGTGGCTGCGAAGATGACAGAGCAAGCGAGGAGGCTGAGGGCGAAGAGAAGCTTGAATTTTCCCGGGAGTTGTGCGCTAATTCCACCGCCGCCGTGCTGGTTTCGGGGGAAAGGAGTGATTTTGGAAAAGTTGCATGGGTTTGAAACAAGACCACAGAGCAGGGGATTTCCGGAGTAGGAGGAGGAGTTGAAGTAGGCGAATTGACCTGAGTCGGGGATCCGGCCGGAGAAATTATTGTGGGAGAAGTCGGCAGCGGTTAGGCTTTTCATGTTAGCGATTTCCCTTGGGATACTGTAGCTGAGCTTATTCGAGGAAACGTTGAGGTAATTCAGAATTCTCAGCTGGGAAATCCGAGCTGGGATTGCTCCGGTGAGCATGTTCTGGCTTAAATCGAGATATGTGAGTTGAGAGCAGTCGCCGATCTCCTGCGGGATCTTGCCGGTGAAATTGTTGAGGCTGAGATCGATTTTAAGTAAATGTTTCAGCTTTCCGAGTTGCGCCGGGATTGCGCCGGCGAATTGGTTGCCGTTAAGAAGGAGGATTTGGAGCGCTGAGAATCTGCCGAAGGAAGGAGGCAAGGGGCCGGAAAGGCGGTTGTTTGATAAGTTCAGCTGGCTGAGCATCGCCGGAGTTCTCCATGGGTCGTTGGAGATACTCCCGGTGAGGTAATTACTCTGCAATTCCATCAGAGACAGCTCCGGCAAGTAAAGGAAGCCTCTTGGGATAGGCCCGGTGAGATAGTTTTGACCAAGACGGACTCTAGAGAGTGTTCTGCACTCACCGAGATCCTCCGGCAATGGACCAAACAGGAAGTTGTTGAGAAGGATCAAGATTTCAAGCTTGCGGCCGACGCAAAGCGCTGGCGGAATCTCCCCAGTGAGCTTGTTCGATGAAAGGTCCACTTCCCGGAGCTTTCTATTGCTGCCGAGATCCGGCGGTATCACGCCGGTCAAGTTGTTGTGCCAAAGCTTTAGCACCTGAAGCTCTGGCAAGACGGAGATGAACTCAGGAATTTGTCCATGAAGCCGGTTGATGAATAGGTGAAGCAGGTTGAGCCGCCGAAGCGCCGAGAACTCCTTAGGGATCTCTCCGGTTAGAGCATTGTTCGATAGGTCGAGGAATTTGAGCCCAGTGAGATTTCCAAGTTCAGGCGGAATTGCGCCGATAAGTTGGTTGGTTTGAAGAAACAGAGTATCGAGCTTTTCAAGCTTACCCAACTGGGGTGGAATCTCGCCGTCGAGGCCGCAGCTGGAAAGATCAAGATGAGTTAAATTGATCAATTTTCCAATCTGCGTCGGGATTCCGCCGTCGAATTGGTTGTAATATCCTAAAAACAGCTGTTTGAGATTAGTCAGATTGCCGAGCTCCGGTGGTATTCGACCGCCGAGATCATTTCCGGCGAGCGATAGAAATTCGAGTGTTACAAATTTGCCGTAGACCGCCGGAATGCAGCCAGAAAAGTAATTCCCGCCGAGGTCTAAATGCCGAAGCTTTGAAAGCTTGACGATTTCAACAGGTAGGGGGCCGAAGAAATTGTTGTCATAAGCGTCGAACACCTCAATGGACGCCATGGAGGCCAATTTCCAGCTTTCTAAGGAGCCGTTGAGCTGGTTGTTTGAGATGTTGACGAAGCGGAGACGAGGAAGATCGGCAATGCCGAGAGGGAGTTCGCCTGAAAGGTAGTTTCCGGCGAGGGAGAGATGGGTGAGGGATTGGAATCCGGCGATCGCTGGAGAGATGAAACCGGATAAGTTGGAGTTAGAAAGGTCGAGAGAGAGAACAAACCGGCCGGCGATGTCGCATTCAACGCCGGTCCATGTGCAGAAGGAGGTGGTGTTTGATGAGTTCCAGGAAGAGAGGAGGGCGTTTGGGTCGACGAAGGATTGTTTGAGAGAGAGGAGGAGGGATGCTTGCTTGAAGAGGGGGTGGGGAGTGAACGAGGTGCAAGAGGATAGGATAGAGGAGAAGAGGAGGACGAAGAAGAAAGCAGCCATGGAGAGAGATGCAGAGAGAGTGAGGAAGGAAGAGTAGGAGAACAAAGATGGAGTATAAGAGGAGGAGAAAGAGAAAAAAGGAGGAGGTGGGACATTGGGCTTGGCTGCTGGTTTGCTTTCTCTTCTTTTGTTGAAGGGGGGAAGGGGAAAGCAAAAGCGTTCGAGTGCTCCTACTGCAGAGCAAAAGTGGAGGGAGATGTTGAGGGCGATGTCGACCGTTGGATTTCGAGAGCGAGCTTTGCTGTCTGTTATTTTTGGAGGAATTACGGATTTCCTTTACTTTCTTTTATTTTTGGCGGAATTACGAAATTTCACCTCTTTTTAATATTTATTGAATCATTTAAATAAATTAAATTAAAAAGAAAAAACTGAATTGGGATTGAATGGATTAGAGAAAAACATACTAATGTGCTTCAAATAATGAGTCAACAAATTCTTCCGTACAAGAAAGTGATTGTAAAAATAATTTTAAAAGATTTATATCCTAAGAGTTGAAGAGAGGAATGATTCACTTAAAAAAAGAAGATTTTTTAGGATTCTCCTTTTATCAACTCTATTACAGTTAGGTTCTTCATGAATGCACCTTCATCTTCTTTACACACCCCACTTGTTCTTCTCATAGTTCTCCTTTTTATCCCTTACATCCCCCGTAAATCGAAGTAGGGATGCAAATGAGTCTGAGTCGAGCTGGAGTTAGGCCTGACTTGTGCTCGATTCGAGAGCCAAATTTTGAGCTCGAACTCAAGTTGAGCTCAAAAGGCTAGCTCAAGCTCAACTCGTTCCACTGAAAAACAAGCTCCTCGAGCGACTCGATACCACAGGTCGAGCATGCAATCGACTGCTCACGGACGCGGTTCACAAGTGTAAAGGCCAATTCGTCTTCCACGCTTCGCCAGTTTACATGTGCAGATGCACTACGCCAGTTCATCTTCCGTGCTTCATTAGTTTGCCTTCTGCCTTACAAGCTGCTCAATGAGTAATTGAGCCGAGTATCAACTAGATTGAACTCGAGCTCGATAATCCAACGAGCTTGAAATTCTACTCGAGCTCGAAACTCAATAAGCTCAACTCGCAAGTTGGCTTAATTCATTTGCACCCCTAGATCGGAGGCATGCTCTCTCCACAAGTAAAGTTTGTCCTTCCCACTTTTACAAACAACCCTTACAATTGATTCCAACCTTCCTCTTTTAGAAGGTTCTCCTTTCTAAATATTTCAAACTAAGAATAAAATTTTACTAGACAATTTAACATTTTTCTTTTGAATCTATAAATTATAACTCCACACCCACCCTCACCAGGTTTCCGAAATCTACAACTACAATTAATGCAAGGCAATGGAAACAATATGCATTCAATCATTTAATTCAAATAAATATAATCATATAGAAATAAAAGCACTTATCTATCATGTAAAACATACGAATCAATACAGGCAATGAAATCTAAAAGCAAAAATTATAAATCATAATAATATGTATCATATACGTATCATATATCATACTAAAATGCATGATAGAAAATATACATAGTAAATTAGTGCACCTCATATGTTTCATATTTTTATGCCCAAATATAGTACACTAACTCCTGATCATTTTATACTAAGTATTTCTTTATAAGCAAAACTACCCGATAAAAATTTAGCATAAACAAGTTAAAACATTCAGGGGGATGATACTTACCACATATAAAAAATTATAAGGTAAAAAATTTACTAAAATAAGAGATATTACATTTTTTATTATTTTTAAGAGGGAGAAAACGTGCTAAACAGAAAATCATTGAAAAAAGAAGTATGATTACAGTTATCTATCATGATCAAAATACTTTTTATAATTAGAGTGACACAAAAATGCTTGCCCAAACTAGGCTTTCTTTCTCCCCTCTCTCCCTTTCTCTCTCCCCTTCTCGCAGCCCTTTCTTCTTCCTAACTAAGACATGAATCGGGGGACTTAGAGGATTGCTTAGGATATATTAAATAGAGTAGTAGATTAAGATATTTAAATATATATATTTTTATACTTAGCATCATAGTGCTGTAATGCTCCCTTAATTTAAAAAAAAAAAACTCCACGAGAGCTTGATGCTACTATGTCACAACGCTTACTAAACCAATTTTTTTGGAATTTAGGAAAATTCAATTTGGGGTTATTACATCTCCTTAGTTGTTGAGATGCATTTAAGTTCTATACAATGCATATGAGTTATCCTCCTTGATAGTTGATATGTTGGAAGGTTCTAAGGAATGGGGGCTAACTCTTAACAAAAAAATATTTTTATGGGGCTCTCTTAGATGTAATTAAGAAAGGTTAAAAGCTTAAAGATAATCTCAATCTTCATACTTTTGGATGATGATTTCTTCCACTTTTAGCTCTCCTTCAAAGAAGATTATGACATTTCCTAGATGGAGGGTTGTGGTTCTTTTTAGGAAAGTTATTCATCCTTTAGATCGAATGGTAAATTGACTTTTAACATATACAAGATGAATTCACCAACATTCCCCTTCAGGTAAAATTATTATAGATTCCTTTATGTTTCTAGAATCCTATCAACGTTCTTAAAATTTTAAGTAAAATTGATACTCAATTGGTTGTGAATTCCTTGGCAAATAGAGATTGACTTTTATTAGAATCTATTTTTTAGGTTTTAAATCTTTTATCTCTTTTAGAAAATGTTTTGATCAATATAGATGGGAAAAAGATAAATAATGAAAGTTCAATATGATTGAAATTCTATATCAGTTGATGGATCAAATTCTCTCTTATTTCTCTATTCATTTCCCCTAAGACACCCAAAATCCTGCCAGCTACTAAAAATTGTAAAATTAGAGGTAGATGTTGAAATCTCAAGCTTGGGAGGAAATACCACATTTCTATTCCAACCTCTCGCCTTCAAACTTCTAATCCTTCTCATGATAGCATCTTCCCCCTTCCCCACTTATCCTTTCAAATATTTGCAACCCCTCTAATTTTTTATTTTTGACCTTTTGTTAAGAAAAATCATACTCAAATTTTGATGTCATACTAATCTGAACCGAAACCTATATCTGCCATCTTTAATACACCACTTAATAAGCCTCTTAATACCAACTGCTCACATTGTCCCCCTACCTCAATGAGCCAAACCTTTAAGATCTCTTAATCGACTTCAATGCCTAATGCATCCTTATATTTTTCCCATCCTTAGTTGCTCAAAATGTTTAGAGCTCAATGTGATGAATGAAAATTAATGAGTATATAAATGGCTCCCCTTGTTGCGTCAGCATAATGCGAATGTCATTAAGGAGTTGAAATAAACAATTTGTTGGATGAGAAGATTAAAAACTGATCATCATCACCCAACAATGAACCACTAATATCCCACCATCATTGAAATAAGCATTCATTAAAGTTTTCCTAAAATTCACATTTTTCAAACTTTTAATCCTTGTTTCAAAAATGTCAATATCATTTTTCTTGATGAATATAATTGCAATAACTTCATCTCTACAATAATGATATGATTTACATCAAACGGGATGCCCCAAAAATTTATGTTCAGCCTATATTCATTTATGAATAATTGATTCAAGATAATACTATTCGGTAGCATTTCATCCTTTTGTAAAACTAAAATTTATAGTGCTAATTCTCATTTATCACAAAATGTTTTTGGTATATATATTATTAGTAATACTGCTCAATTTATTAATAATGCTTAGATTATGATGGAGGACTTTATTTTTTTTGGATTTAATTAAGAAAAGATTGATGGTAATGTGATAACTCCAAGATCAAAGTATTGTTCGAACGATCTGACCCAACTAAAGTCAGGTAATCTATTGAATTTTTGTGTTTGAACTCTTTTGCATATGTCAGATAAAGATATGTGTGTATAAAAAATGTATTCATGTGTTCTTTAGTGAGTTTCAGGGGTCTGAATTCTTATTTGTGAAATCTATAATTTTTTATTCTAGGGGGCCCCAATGTTGTGTTTTATGTGGTCCTAGCACTGGATTCAATAGCTCTATGGGGACTATGGTGCATGTTATCTTGATTAGATTTGTTAGCCCTCTAATTACCTTGGCTACACTAAAGTATCCCTAATCCTTTAATTATTTTATTTATTTTTTAATTCAATTTGATCTTTGGCTCTAAATTTCTCAAATAATTATTATTATCATTATTATTGATTGAGTGGCCCATAATTATTATTATTATAATTATATTTCATGTGTTTTCAATAATTAATTCACATTTATGTCATATATCTGATTTTAATATAATTATAGATATTTAAATTCATTTAGAAAATATAGATAAATGTTTTTTTTTTTGAGAATTTTCCACCCAAATCTTCTGAAAAATAATATTGGGTCATCATTATGGCTCATATTTTATCTCCTCATAAGAAATGAAAATTTAATTTATCATCAACGAAATAAGAAATAAAAAAAAAACTGATTTTTAGCAATAAAAAATGTTGCCATGCAAGGATTTATCATTGCACTCCCACAGTTGCAGGAATGGCGAAGCCACGTACAAATTAACAGTTCTAATACTTGATTCGGAAGATCCATTGCCCATTTGGTTGCTACAGGTTAGAGAACATGCTTTTATAAATGACGAATTGAATATATTATATTATTTAATGAGTTAAATTTTCATCCTAATCTAATAAAATGGAGTAAACAAGTCAAATAAATTGGCACATTCTAGATAACGCACCATACAAATTGACGCAATAACCTCGCATGCCGCCCAATCAGTTGAGCTGAATTTTATAGAACTGTTGTAATGCGCCATACTAAAGGGCGTGTTTAATGGAATGCGCCAAACATTATCATGCATTCCATTGAATGCGTCAAATTATTTGGCTTATATTGACGTACTTATTCTAAATATGCCAAATAGTTCGGTGCATTCAATGGAATATGTCATCATATTTTGCTAGCAAGCTTCTTTTTAATTTTTTTTAATATCCTGATCCTACTCTTAATTTAAATTAAACATTTGAGCTTTCATTAAAAAAAAAAAAATCCTATTTTTAAAGTCATCTTAGATCTACCATGACCTAAAATATTTTTCTTAAAATGATGGATTTATTTTGCCACTTTTTTTTTTTCATTTAAGATTTATTTTCCACTTGAGCTGTGTACTAAAGTATATTTTGGGCTTTTTCATCATTTTTTTTTGGGCTTATTTCATTCTTAGATTCAAAGTAATAATGGAGTTTGCCCGAATCCATCATCTGGTTGAATGAAACAAAAAATAATATAAATTTTAAGCTTCAAAAGAATTCAATATTCTGATTTTTATTTTACTTATCAAACAAATAAATAAAATTACTTTATTAAATATAGTTTCTATCTACAAGCAATAATATATAGGCTCTAACGATATTATAGATTTTAAAATTCATGTTAATTTTATTAAGGAGTGTGAACAGAATGTGTATTATACATTAATGATCAAAGAATTAATTAGTTTAAACTTATGCACTAAAGCTAATCACTATGTATTTATGCATCTATCTGATATGAAAAATCAATTAAACATACTCTTGTGTCATAGGCTTAGGCTTCGTTTGAGACAGCTTTTTTATTATTTTTTAAAACGGTTTTCCAGTACAAAAATTTTTTCAAGAAATTTTTGTACTATAAAGTTATTTTAAAAATCAAGAAAAAAGCAGTCTCAAACAAAGCCTTAGTTTGAGATAGCTTTCTTATTGCTTCTTAAAACAATTTTTTAGTACAAAAATTAAAATATTTGTATTAAAAAACTGTTTTAAACAGCAATAAAAAAGTTGTTCCAAATGAAACCTTAATAATCACCGCTTAAACGGAAAGCACTTTGCATCAATCATTATTTTCTCTAAAATAAAAAAATTTTCATCATTAAGAATCATATATCAAAAGCTAACTCAATCAAGTGGAGCCATCAAAAGAATCACCTGATCTTTAACCTTCAGCATAAACAAATGCATATGAATCATTCAATCCATTTGATATTTATTAGAGTAAACTAAAAATTAGCCAAATAAATAATTCAAATTTATTTTAGATCTGAAGATTAATTATCTAATATTTTTAGATTAATTTTTTCCAACCATTTAATAAAAAACTAAATCAATACTCTCATGTATTTTAATAATATTTAATTATATAAAATCAATTAATAAAATCTAATAAATTTAACCATCTTTAGAAGAATATTTGTTTGAGCTACTCACATAAAAACAATAGCAAGTACCATGTTTTGTTGATCTATTTCAGCTCATAAGTCTTAAACTTTAAATGAATATGTAATTAAATTACTGACTGTTGCATGTATGAGCTCTTTTATAAAATTCTAATCATTCTAATATGTTATGTGTATCTATCAATTTTTTTTTTAATTTTAAATAAATTATATAATCATCTAACCAATGTAGCTCACCAATCATTAACAGGATCGAATTTTTATCTTGGACAAAAAATACTTCCATCATGCCTCAAATTCTATCATATCTATTTTAGAAATATAATATCTACTACACATAATTATTTCTGTTTTAGTATTGCCAAAGACTCATTCATATATTCTATACGATCCAATTACAATTTTATAAAATATGTTAAATTTCAAGGGAATGAAATTACAAACTTACACACTATATATACAAATTTAGTGATATTACATATATCATTTATGGACTGTTAATTATCATGGTAAACTTGATAGCTTGAGAGAAACTCTAGCCGCCTCCCGAGTTTCCTCTAGTTCTCTGTCGTGGGAAAAAATTATTTGTTGTATTAAAAAACTGCTTTAAGAAACAATAAGAAAGCTGTCCCAAACGAAGTCTTAGACTCTTTGGGCAGATAAAGTATTCTGTGAGGACAACGGACGCCATCCAGAGGCCAATCAAAACGTGCCACGTCACTTTTTTGATTGGTACCGATGCTGAGTACCAGGTGACATTCTAGTTGATCTCTGAACCATCCGGTGTCCGCACAAAATAATTTCGAGAGCTGAAATAGAGGTGAAGACGGTCAGCATGCATGTTCTTATTCATGATAAAACCAAGAAAGTAAAAAAAAGTCACTTCCTTTCACTCTTCCCTTAAACCAAAAATCAAAATTATGATAAAGATGCACATATATTGTAAACTTTCCACTTAAAAGTACAAAATAAGGCTATCTTTAACAAGATGGAAAGAGAAGAAAAAATTCATGATCAAAGTTTTTTTTTTTTTCCTTTTATTTTGAGAAGAGCACAGACAATAAAATAATAAAAAAAATGTTATGCTCGCAACAGAAACTAAAATTTTGCTAATGATGCCCTTATCATTAATGCCACATTTACATTCCGCACACATAAAATTTGGTTTCTTCTATATAACATGATTATATGATATGATCATAATGGCAGTTGATGGGCAAGTCATTGCCCAATAATGCCTGAAGGTTACTAGAATGTTATCAGACGAAACAACATGAGTGCTACAGAGCTCTATACCCAACCAAAGCTCAGTAGAATTTTAGTATTAAAACATTTGTAACACCTTTATTGACTAGGAAAAGAACAAATTCAACTTTGTGAACAGTGGACTCAGACTAGACACTGCAAAAGGCAAGGCAAACATTGGGTGAACACAAAAGAAAATGCACTAACCCTTCTACTTTGGAGAAACCTTTGGCCTTTAACAAAAGAGATTTCTTTATTCAATCATAAAGAAGCACATTTTGCTCATTGAAGAAGTCCGCTTTATCGTTTGCATTAGCCACAAAGCGGTCGCCAGTAGAAGAGCTGGGATTCAAAAGATGGTGATTCCCTGCGGAGATAAGAAAATATAAATTATCAATTTTGAATGAGAATTTTCGCACAGTTAGTCATATATATGACACTAATTTGCAAGTGCAAATCATAGGAAAAGCGCTGCTATCAATAGATTCTAAGGCTTCATTTGGGACAGCTTTCTTCCTGCTTCTTAAAACAATTTTTTAGTACAAAATTTTTAATTTTTGTAGTAAAAAACTGTTTTAAGAAGTAAAAAAGCAGTCCCAAACGAATCGTCGAAGCCTAACAATCGTTATATAAGAATGAAAGCTAGGAATAAGTTTGCAAACATCAAAGCATTCTATTTTTCATCTGTTTTTGGATTGAGTGGAAAACCAAGAATGCATTTCTTGAATTTTACCATACAAGAAATGCACCGCAACATCGATACAAAGCCTAACAATATATTGCGAGGTATGATTTTGAATATTCGTAACCACACAACAAGTTGCTTCCCTGCTATCAATAGATTCTAAGGCTTCATTTGGGACGGCTTTCTTCCTGCTTCTTAAAACAGTTTTTTAATACAAATTCTTTTATTTTTGTACTAAAAAAATTATTTTAAGAAGTAAAAAAGCCATCCAAAACGAATCGTCGAAGCCTAACCCAAACAATCGTTATATAAGAATGAAAGCTAGGAATAAGTTTGCAAACATCAAAGCATTCTACTTTTCATCTGTTTTTGGATTGAGTGGAAAACCAAGAATGCATTTCTTGAATTTTACCATACAAGAAATGCACCGCAACATCGATACAAAGCCTAACAATATATTGCGAGGTATGATTTTGAATATTCGTAACCACACAACTTCCTTCTTTCAATATGTAGCAATTTTGTTTGGAACTTCGATGGCAACAAGCTTCTCAGCAAAGCCCAATTCAATTCTTCAATGAAATAATGTTGCTTTACCTGCTAAGCTCCCGTGGATTCTTTAAAAGCACACAAACTCATCTGGGAACTTCAGAGGCCGCTGTCACTCGCTTGAGAATCTAGCACTCTCTACATGAGCTGCCTTAAGATTCTTCGATCCTAAGCATGGTTTAAAATTGTGCAATATGAGGCTTGCCTTGAGGCCCGCCTTTCCGCAATTCCAATAAAAAAAGCCTCGATGCTTACGCATCAAGTTTTTTTTATGAGGCTTGCGCCTCAAGCTCAACTTGGTTGAGACCCGCCTCGCCTCACTGGCATGAGGCTTACGCCTCACGCTATATATATTAAAAATTACATAAATCTTGAAGTAAATGCCCTACATTTGACTCTATAGGAGAGGAGGAAGGGGAGAGAGCAGTTCACCATAATAATGATTCAAATGAAGAACCCCTTAGTGATGACAGTGCTGATGACTTATGAGTTCTTATGTGATATGTCATTACTATTTATTTTTGAAAATTGAAATTATATGTTAATGAAAAGAATACTGGGATTTGGGAAAGATAGAATTTTGAGTTGAACTATATTTCATGTTGTTTTATTATTGAGATATTTTGATTTCACTTCATATCTTATGCTTTTTTATGTTTTATATTATTCACTCATTAGTATATAAAAAAATTATCATTTTATGTTTAGGGAATCTTTTGATTTTGAGGCTTACGCCTCGCCTTACGAATGAAAAACACCTCAATACCCAAATACGCAATTTTAAACATTGATCCTAAGTAACCCTTCACTCCCTCTCTCAAGAACTCGGGAGGGGCAAATAACTCTAAAATTTAATTAGCTATCAAGTTTGTGATGAGATGAGCCTCTTCATTTACATAAGTTACAAAGGTCTCAACTACCATAACAAATACAGGAGTAAAAATTATCTCTAAGACCTTAGAAACCACTATAAGGTTCACCTGACTGTTGGGAGCGACAAAGACTTAATCACGCAGATGTCCATTGATGTGCCACAAGTTTTTCAATGCATTTCAACCGTTAAATTCTCACCCACATTTTGGCAACCCCCTCGTCACATCCACAACATGATTATCTTCGTCTGTTTCAAGGTGAGCTTCTATATATGGAAGTAACTCATCACTGTATTATTTGTATTTATGACAAACTTCAATATGAGAAAGCAGTGATTTCATGTAAAAGATAATGCACCATCAGTGTGATATACTCTTTCACTATATACTAGTGCTCGTTGTCGTTCAATTTTCAACTCAAAAACAACACTAGATGCAATGACATTGTCCGAGAAAATAATATATACCATTGTTTAAAAAAAGCGGTTAAGGCGGACAAATCGAGGCACGCCTCAAATCGAGGCATTACGCGGGCGAACTAAGGCTTAAGCCTCAACTGTTCGGATGTAGCATACGCCTTTTTTCACTGAGGCGTATGCCTCAAGGCTTGAAGCGCCGAGGCAACACGAGGCAGTGCCTCCATTCATTCTTTTTTTTTTTCGCCAGGACTCGTGCATGTGCATGAGTCGAGATGCTTATTAGATAGACTTAGAGCTTCTATTTCGAAGCACTTCCACCACTTGATTCTCTCTCGTTCATTCTCTCGCATTCCCTGTTGTCTCTTGTTCCTTCATTACTTTGATTGCCACTCAGTCGAGTTCGACGTACTTGGAGGCGAAGGTAAGGTTCTCGTTCCTGTTTCGTGCCTCTATCGTTCTTTCCCCATAGCTTTCTTCATCTTCGCCTGATTTTCTTTGTTCCTATATTGTTCCCGTTTCGTGCCTCTCTTGACTCTGACACCGACGTGCCTCTCCGACTTCGACAGCCACATTTTCCTCATCGCCAGGCGCAAAGGTAACTTAAAAATTTAGCACTGTAACCACTTGAAATGAGAGTCTTAGATTTTTAGATCTTTAAAACTTACGTTGTTGTAATAGTTTTATTCCAGATTTGTGGTTAGGCTTATTAAATATCATATACATTGTTGTTATAGGGTTATTTCACTTAATAAGTTGCTTGTGTTAGTATTTTTCAATTTGACATGGAGAAACGAATTTTAGTTCTTGAATGTTTTATATTTATTAGTAATATTTTTGTGTACTGAAATTAGTTTGCATAATTAACTTCGTAGGAATGAATTTAAATTACATATAATTGCATATGCTTTAAATGTTAGCAAACTCTTGCATATACTGAAGCAAAGAAACAATGATAATGAAATTGAACATTTGTTTGTTGATGATTTACAATCTGATGATGAATGGTTACTCCTAATAATGCTAATATTTCTGAAATTGAAGCTAAAGGAGAAATTCATGTCAATGAGGACAATGAAGCAACTACCCAAGTATATAAAAGAAAGAAATAAAGAGAGATTGGAGCTTCAAAAAAATTCAAAGGTATTCTTAAATATAATGAATTATTTTTTATGTTATTATTGTTTCATTCTAGAGCTAATGAAATATTAACTGATATATGAGATAAAGAAAAAAATATTATAGATGAATAAGAGTTTGTGAATGACTTTGACATAAATTATGAAAATTCTTCTGAAGACAATCAAAGTGATGATGAGCTTATATTGGGTCTTGAACCTAAGGGGGTGTTTTATTTTTAAGTAAGTTTATTTTGAATATTGTGTTCCAGTAATTTTATCTTAAAACAAATTATCAAGTTCATAATTTACATAATATTTTGTCATTTTTTGTCATTATTTATAATTTTAAATTATCTTATTTTTATTGTTTTGAGGCTAGCTAACTGTCATCAAGAAATCCGCTAGGGCCCCATAACACATCAAACAGGTAGTCTTCGCTTCGCCTCCTGCCGCTATCCGAACTTAATAATATCATGACTGCAGGCCCAGCTTCCTAAACCACACTAAGCACCACTAACTTGATTGAACAAGTCACTTACAAGCATTATTGAGCTCTTATTCTTCATTGTAAACATGTTTAGTGCTTGTTAGTAAATATACAAACATAATGACTCATTGTGCTTCTTTTAGAAAATAAACAGAGACCCAAGAAACACTTTTGAAGTTGCATATAGAAAAGAAAGCTACTTGTTAGCCAATTGCATGCCTTTAAACTCTTCTATTGGGATAATCTAATTATAGATTAACATGCATGGTGATCACCACGCTCACATGCAATGCCTTGAGCTCCTCCATCTCCTGATGCACGACCTCCACCCAAGGCTTGAAGGGCATTATCGTGATTCACAAACTCTTTGACTTTAACATTCAAGACTTAGTATCTCACTACAGAGCTCCTCCTACCACTGAATTTGAGCCCATCCATGCATTCAAACTTTTACTTGAACTAATCTTAGGCACACCCCTATGGAAATCTCCATCTTTTCCACACAAGGCTACAATATTGATAGCACATTAAGCTCACTAAACAAATATTTATGCACTTTATTTAGTAATTAAGAAGTAAATTATTAAAAACATATTATTATTTCTTGGCTTCTTGCAGTTACACATGATTCTGAACTTGAAGTTGTGACTGAAGATATCCTCACTTTAACAGTAAATGAACTTGAGAGAGAAGCTGGAGAAAGTTCTATTATATGAAACTTTAAAGTTTAAACAATGAATTTGTGTTGTATTTCATTAAGAACTTGAAACTTTTGCAGTACCCTTCTGGCTGTTTAGTTGTTTAGTTGTACCCTTCTGAGTTCTGGCAAAAAAAAAGAAAATGATCTCAAACATGCCCTAAATTTTTTGAGCGTGCCAAAGACCATGAGGCATACCAGCAAAAATATTTTGGACAGTATGTGCATCTCAATGGGCAATATTTTGTAAATGGTTGTACCCTATGGTTAGCTCTTAACAGGCATGGACAAGCCATCATCATTAGAATGGATCAGATGCTTGAAGAATTTCAACATCTTTGGCAAAACCATCTCCATAAACCAACTCAAGCATCAATACAACAAAAATAACATCAAGCATTTATATTACTACATGGGGGTCGGCAAAGGAAGCATGAAATTTTCTGAAGCCCATCTCGCCAATCCAGAAAACAGATGTCTTGGTTTTTGCTTTAAATAATCTCTAGGATTAATAAGTATAGAAATTCTGTAGATCAATATAATGCCTGCACATATTATTTGAGATGACAATCAATGGACCATTACAAACCTTAAATACTTCAACATCATCTCATAAGTTGACTCATGCTTCACTAAAAACACTAAAAAATAAAGATTCTTCAAGACTTTTAATTACCACAACGAAGTAGTGATTGCTTCTTCAAGACATTTGTCAAAATCTCATTCACCAAATATATTTAAGTCAGACAAAAAAGCTTTCTCATTCATCTCTTCCTTGTCTATTTCATATGACGTCTCAACCATAAATGAGCGCCAAATGAATGCTCTCATAATTCCTTCTTGAGCTGTCATACCTAACATCTGGTCTCTAAAGTCCAAAACTCTTCAAGTCATCAAATGTCCTGATCTCATACTGCATTGCTATTATATGCCTCAAGATAATTTGATACCAATTATTAGGAAAAAACCTATTTTTTTATGAGGAAGTGCGAAAAAAGAAATAATTTGATGAACACTCAAAATTAAAATAAAAAGATCATGTAAAACGAAAGGCATCCAAAATTATAAAATTTGGTCCAATTCTAATTAGAAGAGGGGGTAACAAATCAAATAGCCACACAAATGTACAAGCAACTAGCCACAGAAAACAATCTCCCCAAATCCCATGTATATTCAATCTCACCGTAAAATAAACTATGAACCTCTCAAGATATCAAGCTACACAAGAGAAAATAACAAAGAACTAAACCATACCAAAAGACCTTCAACCAAATGCTCATCAAATATGGCACCAAATTTACTAATTTACCAGGCAATGTGCGACAACTGCTTTAGCAAATTCACGTGAACCTCCCAAACTCAACAGAACATGCACATATAAATAACCTCACTGTCACCTAACGCTGATCCTTCAAATGCGAAAAACAGTAGACCACCTCAATTCTCATACCTTGGCTCTGAGTAAATGGGCATGTAAATTTCTGGATCCCAACAAACCTATCCAGTAAACAAAATGACTTAAGTTATTTGATTTAAATAATTACAAAGATTTATCAGCACAATTGTTCTGGAAATTATGATCCCCATATAATTTGGAAAAAAAAAACTCAACGCATGGACATTTGGCACCAAAAAAACCACAAAGATGCTTCAGAAGATAGAAACATGTGAGGTCTCTTAAAGCCAACACAAAATCATTAGGTTCAATGTTGACATCGGCAAGAAAACCATTTTGGTTCCAATGCTTGAAATGCTTCAATCATCATTAGAATATGAAATCATTCAGAGTAGCATTCAAATGCGGAAGAAAACCTGTGAAGATTTGTACATGCTTGAAGAATTTAATTATGTTTACATAAAAACTTCTAAAAAAAAAAGAAAGGTCAGTGATTTTACATTAGCTTGCCAAGTAGAACTACCATCAGGCCTGTAAGCTAACTCGCCAGACACATTAGCTTCAAGAAGTTTATTAATAGAAAAATAAAAAAAGAAAGAAACAAGATGATGTGCAGAAAAAGAACAGTAGCTTCAACTCAGCTAAAGATGAATGCATATGCTTGATTGCAGGTTGTTTCTAGAACCTTCGTTGGCAGATGTTCATCCCAGCTGAAAAGGTCTGATATCAACCAATTACATTCCAGTTGTATACCCAGTAAAGTACGACTCCCTAGGGTAAAATTGTAGGCCAAAAAAAAAAAGTACCACACCTAGAAACTAAATTCTGGTTATATAACGAAATATAAATGCTGAAAATGTTTTGATTGTGAACCAGGATGGCTCCCAAACTTACTAATCTCTCCAATAAAATCAACAAGATAATCAGTTAAAATATAGGAGAAAAGAATATGGAAAAGAAAAAAGTACTAAATTGCAGCTTGCACGGTGACAAACTTGTTTGGCTGCTTTTGCCCGAAGAGTAGACATTACCACCACTGCAGTACTCTATCGGCAAATAAATTTCTTAGTTTCAAAGTGCGCATACAGAGTTGGAAAAAAGGGATGATAAAAAAAACTATATTTTTTATTATAGTAGTAGTTAGAACTTAGAAGAGATTCAATATTCATGGATAAAGTATAGCCCAATTGATTGGCATTTATTTAAACAAAGTGTACAAATCAGCCATAACTGGCCTTAAGAGGAAAAAGAAAAATCATAAATGAAGCACACCCAATTAATTATAATAGGGTAAATTAAGGCATGTAAATGAATGCACAATTTTAAATTTATTCTACATTCGGAAACACGTATCATTAGAGAGCTAGATGTGGCATGACTTCAGAGGCTGTGGCTATAGAGGCCTCTGCATATAAGGTTGTATGAAGACATGAGAGCTGCAGTACGTGCAGAGGCAAGGAGAACAGCTAGCACTGGCGGGGAAGGTTACATTCTAGGAGCAAATTGCAGTGTAGAATTAATGTTGGAAGACCTACAACTAAAAGGCAATAAGTTGGTAGCATGTGTGCTTTTCAATTTGATTGCAAGAACAAGAATTAAGGTGCTAAATTCAGGATTTTAACACTCCTCCCTCAAGCTAGGAATTGTTGATTAATCCTAGTATGGAATTAAGATTGTCAAATTGAGATTAATTAAGAACTTATGAATCTCGACAGTCTCAAGTTTTGTTGGAGTGTAATTAATTTGGGTGATTCTACCAATTTCAAAATGTTTTGGCCGATCATGGATCATGGTGAACTAGGTTCTTAGCAATGCTCAAATTTCATTATCATAAGTAACGAGAAATAGCTAGCAACTTCTTCCCAAACACATTTGTTTCAAAACAGACTCCAAAAATTGCTGCCAAACACATTTATGTTGAAATTAATCACTTACGCAAACCTTTTTTTATCGTCTATAAACCCACTAGAGTATTCAAATAATTTGATGATTTCATACCCATGATAGAATGCTCTTTACTAAAGCTAAGTCAATGAAGGCCAGCAAGGGTATTATTTTTTCATTGTGTAATGCACAGTGTTCTTGTTATTATATGTATCAAAACGAAAAGGAAAGGAAAATTGCTTTTATGCATAACAAGACACTTTAATTCATTAAAATGGCATAAATGAGTACATAATCATTTCCTATTTCAAATTACTATCAAGCCTATAAAATACATATTTTACATAACCAATATTTTCTTTATTAAGATGATACTATCATAAAAAATAACCTTACAAATCAGTATTAACTCACAAATCGCCTTCAAACTTGTAGCACCATTAAAATTTGCTTGAGTGCATTCTGAAAGCATATACCTTTCCCCATTTAACCTATCATTTAAAACATAAGCTTCCTTGGATTAAAAGACATACAAAAGTAAATAATTGGATAATATGTTTGGTAAATAAAGGAATCATATTTACCATTTCAAGTTTACAATCTTGCAGATAAACGTTTCAAGAAATCATACTTGATACAAACCAGCGCATGATGTTCACTCCCAAGACTATCTTCTATAAAGGTAACTCGATAGAGGGAAATTTATACTTTTTGCAACCTGAAATTCCACTAGAAATCAATGCATGCCAAAAAAAAAAAACGTGGATAATAAATTGATCGTTCAACTTGAAGACCACATACCCTTACAGCCATTTCCTCATCAGTAGTACATCGGTATCTAGTAGAACCTTCTAAAGGGAAGCTACCATTTTTGCATATAAAATTGGCATTGCAGAGAGCAGATAATTGCAACAGAACATCAGATGTCAACCCAACACTTTCACTTTTAATGGCAGAGCCATTTTCACACTGCTCTTCTTCAACCATACTCTCAACAACTGAGGTAATGCATTGAAAAATCGCTAGCAACCTCTCGAGTGGGAAGCTACCAGGTCCCTTCAATAGTATTTCTTCAGCCATTCTATCCTTTCGATCCATTGACATCTGTGAATTCCTATAAGAAAATAAGGAAAATGGAAAGAAGTTTGATAACATTAAAGCCAAGCGACCTTTTATTTGGATTTTCCATAAGGTACAAAATTGAATATGGAAGTTAAAGTCATGCAGTCAATACTTATTTCGTTTCCGATTGATTAAACCTCCTGAAGAGTCAAATAAAGATGCATCGAGAGTAGCAGGATTTCTTGAAGCAATAAATGCAGAGAGGAGCAGATACTTGGCTGACATGGACATATGAAAATCCAACTCATTAGATGCCTCCTTTCTATTTGACTTCCTAATTCCCTTCTTTTGGCGATCTCCTTCTTGCTCAATTTGATGTGAAGAACGGCTCAGGATCATGAAGAAATCATTAAGTGATACAGTCAGGTATGACTGAAGGTTATCAAAAAGTTTTCTCTTCATAGCCTCATCTGGAACAACAGATTGATCAACTAAAGGTTTACAGTATTTCTGAAACAGAGGTTGAAATGCCACTGACAACTCATCAACTCGTCTGGTGACTCTAAAGAATGGCTTCAGAACCACACTGCAAAAGAATCACACTATTACATGAGTAAAGAGAATTATAGAGTATTCAAATAAAGACTTCTATCAAACCACCATACCTTAGAAAAGATGAGTAGAGCTTTGGGTTAGGTTGATTCCTCATGAATATACTATGTAGATCCTCCAATGTATAGTCAGGAAAGTAGACCGTTATCGGCTCAATTGACCCAGTACACAAATAATGTGCATCAGGAGTAGAACTACTTATATAAATTATGCCAACTTCAGGAATTTTTAAGATCTCATGGATTCGCAAAAGCAGAGGGACAATGTTAGAATTCTTGCCCCATGAGCGAAGTAGCTCAAAGTTATCAAATATCAAGTAGATCATTTCACCTCTATCAACCTCCTCAAAACCCGATTTTATATTCCTTTCCCTAAGAGCATTTATCGCCTGAACCAAAGCAGTTCTAAGTAAATCAATGAATTCTGATAGCTTTTCACATCGCTTGGTTCCACTATTTCCTTTGATGGGATTCCTCCCGTGGAGAAGCAATTGCCTCAGAACGGAATCAAAGAGTATTTGTGGGGAGTAGCATGTTCGAAAACCAGCGTAAACAAAAGGCCGATTGAGATAACGAAAAATTTGAAGAATGGAGATGGTCTTGCCATTTGATGGTCCTCCATAGATGAGGAGAGGGTACATGGGGGAGTTCAAGGAGCCCACTAGCCGCAGAATCTCAAGAATTTGCTGCTTTCTTCCGGGAAGTGATGAGATTAGGGTTGCCAAACTGATGGGTTCTTCTGAGCAGTACAGGCAATGGATTAGTTCTTCGGATTGGGTTTGTGAAGAGAATGGACATACATTCTGGGGTGAGGGCTTGGAAGGTGATAAGTGCGATGAAGATCTAGTTTTTCTTCCAGGGGATAGTGGGATTACTCCATCTTTAGCCATCTCTTACAGATCCTTATATCGATTGGTTCAAGAAAAATGAGACAACTTATAGTACAAATGCTTGCAGGGTTTAAGAAGCAAATCTTCTGCTCGCAAAGTCAGCCTCTGTTCTTCTGAGCACTCGATCCGCAAAGCGTTACGCTGTCTCCTAGCTGTCAATGATTAACAAGGAAGGCGGGTTAGGGCTTCGAGTAACAGAAACTAGGGCGCTAAAATTGGAACGAAGAAGAACAATGGAAAAATTCAGTTAAAAAATCGACAATCTATATTTTTATTATGCATAAAATATTAAAATATAAAATTTTGATTTGTAAGCCTCGTGATAACTACCTGAAGAACAAATGATAAGCAAAGAAGACATAATTTGCTTGTTAGCAAATAACATTTGCACATTGTAATTAGGTTGTAATTGTAATAACTATGTCATAATTTTCTAAGCATGCCATATTCACATGAGTCTACATATTAATTAGGTTATATTTTTGGTTCAAGGGTTAATACAGATGAAAAATTATTATCCGCGGAGTACGGACGTAGAGATACGTCCGAACATTCACATAAAATGTGGCATGTGGAGTGCATTTTGGTTGCACTTTTTTGTGTGTTTTACCAACGTTTTAGTTGCACTTTGACTGTTCTTTTGTTGCACTTTTTTTTATTGCGCTTTGAATGTGTTTTACCTGCACTTTACATGTACTTTACATGCGCTTTTGATGCCCTTGGCTTTTTTTATTTTAGAAAGGTATGATAAAGTTCCACGAACACTCCACGTGTCAACATTTTATTGGAATCCGGACGTATCTTTACATCCGGATTCCGCACCTAATAATTTTCCAATACATAAAGATAAACTAATTTTTTTTAGCTAAAATCTACTTAATTTTCTTTTAGTTTTTTTAATATATTTTCTAAAATGAATTTACATGTAGTAGGGAAGGAAGTAATAGAAATCTATCAATTTACAAGCTGATTTCTAGACCAATCAAGCTAACAATCAAAACATATTAAGAGTTTTCTTGCAGTGTAAGATATTCTAACAAACATGAACCAGCTAACAATTGATCCAGTACGATCCAACCCATTAGAAAGATGAACATCCAATTTTTAGACAGCGCAAACCAAAAGAAGGGATTTTAATATTCAATGTTAAATAGAAGGAAATCTTCAAAGATGAGTCCAAACCAGCAAAACAAAACCGCCTATTTGCTCAAAACAGGATGCTAAGGGGACAGTGCTGTATTTGAGAAGGTTCGTTCGCAACCCTTTTAGGGGCCGCGTAGGAAATGAGGGGCTCGGGACGAACGACGTGTGGAAGGTGGAGGGGGTTCGAGCACGGTAAGGAGGACGGGTTCGGGCACCAGTTGACCTGTGTAAGAGCAAAATAGTATTAGGGCATACTGTCCGTCAAAATTATAGATAAAAAAGAGCTACTTCGTACGGTTGGATATTGTTCTTGATATTGTTAATATGACTCATTCTGATTGATCAATAGATGCATAGTACACAGCTCATCTTGGTCTGTTGGTTGAGAGCTTATGCTTCAACTAAGAGGTCCTGGATTCGAGTCTTTGTGTATGCGTGGTGTGTATGAGTTTGCCTTAATTGGCCTAAATGTCCCAAAAAAAAAAAAAAAAAAAACAGATGCATAGTTGCATTTGATGTCCACACAATTAAATTTCCATTCGTCGCAGCGGTAGTATTAAAAATGGAAAATATATTAATTAGTAACTAAATAACTCTCAATAGTAATTAAATAATATATAATTGTTGCGTCCACGAGTATTCGTGGCGGTAGAGAAATATAAAGTTTATCGTCTTAGCATTGTACGAAAATCAAGCACGCAATCAGATAAGAGAGAGGGTCTAGCATTCACATGAGACACCAATATTTTTACGTGGAAAACACTTGAAAAGGGGGAAAAAACCACGGGGCCTAGCCAAGTTTGAATGAATCCACTAGTATTGTAGTTGATTACAAATAAGGTCCTTCCTTGGTGGAAGGTCTTAGCTTGATGTACATCTTATGGAGTACATTACATGATGTTAATACAAAGAGTCATTGTTGACATGTTCGTTTGGTCGGAAATGCTCTAAAGGAAATCCTAGATCATACTATTATAAAGCACGCTTTATCGCATCAAAAACACCGCTGCGCTTTGCAACTGTGGTAATAGTACCAGACATGGCCACAAAAACATCTTGACAAGTGAAACTTGGAATCTAATTGACTCAAAGTACACTGCAGTAGAAACAACCATATTTTCCAGTACAAGAATTGCAGCTATTTAAATAATCAATAACACATGTTCCTGGGTTTCTGAGCTGGAAGAGCAACAGCAGGTTGGAACAAGAAATATTTAGCCTAAATCAAATCTATAGAAACTGCAGAAATTAAAACTACAGCATTAACCTAAATTAGAGCAAACCTAAATCAAATCTATAGAAAAGACCTAAATTAAATCTACAGAAACAAGTTGGAACAAACCTATTTATGAAGTTATGTTTGTAGTTGTAGTCTTCCAAGAGCAGGGGTTCGACCACGATGAACCTAGGGAAGAAAGAGGAGTTTACGAGGGCGGCGTAGGAAAGGAGTCGTTCAGGCGTTCGGGTACGAATGACTTTTGAAGGAGGGTTTTGACTTACGAGCACAGTATGCCCGAAGGCTTGAGGCACGAGTTGAGCGGCATAAGAGATCAGGGCAACTGCGAGATTTTGTTTGTGCGGACTTGTAGCTCTATTATCAATTTATTAAGAATATATATATATCAATTAATAGATGATAACTAATGATTTATTTATGAATATATATTATAATATTTGCTTAAGTTTTATAATTTATGAATCAGTAATTATTATATTATTAAATTATAAAAAATATAAATATTTATATTAAATTATTCTACAATTTTACAATGAGACTTTATCGATCTTGATATCAAACATTAATCAAGTTATTTAATGAGCTTGCTCACAAGTTCCATATTGAACAATAAACGAGTTTTTATCGAGCATCTTATCGAGTTTCTTATCGAGTATGTTCACAAACTTTACATGATGTTGTTTATGAACATAAATGAGCTAAGCATGTGATTGTTCAAGCTTGTTCATTTAATCATCGAGTATTAGAAAAATGTTCAACCTTATTTGATTACTTAATCAAACAATTACGAACGAACTTTAATCTAGCCGAACCATGAGCTGTGAGATCAATATAAACTAAGAAGGGTTTGTAAAATACTAATCATATATTAAATATAATAATTTTCAATTCATCGTTTAATTTATATCATTGTTGCGGGTGAGAATATATGCGGTCGTAGGGTAAATGAATAAAACGTCTTAGCAATGTATGTATATCTGACGCACCAACAGATAGTTAATAAAGAGAAAAACATCATAAGTTTTTTTTACGTGGAAAACCCGAAAAGGAAAAAATCACGGGGCTTGACCTAGATGAGAAAGTTTCACTAAGTTTGAATGAATTACAAAGATTGATTTGCTCATTTTCTTGAAGATAAAGGGATTACAAAAGATTTGAGAATCAGATAGAAGCATGGGGATGGTTGACGAATGAGCAGAGGTCGACGGTGTTCAAGAAGAACTCTGATGGGGGTCGATGAACGGGGGAAAGTTCGGTGGTTGTTGACAAATGAGTGAAGGTTCGGTGGTGTTCGAAAGAACTTTGGCTATAGTCAACGAGCGAGCAGAGGTCTGGCAATGGCCGGGAAGAACTCTGACGATGGTCAACGAATAGGTGAAAAGTATGTTGGTGGTCGAGAAGAACTCCAATGATGGTCGACGAGCGAGTCAAGATCCGGCAGTGGTCAGGAAGAACTCCGATGGTGGTCGAAGAGCGGACGAAACTGCGTCTGTGGTTTATGAGTGTGCGGAGGTCCAACGGTGGTTGGGAAAAACTTCGTAGGTAGTAGACGAACGGACGAAGGTCCATCTGTGGTCGGGAAGAGCTTCAATGGTGGTCGGCAAATGGGCAGAAGTCCGGCGGTGGTCGACGAACGTGCAGTGGTTGGCCACGATTAAACTCCGGCGATCTCTTCCTTTCTTCTCGCTTCTTTTTCCTCTTCTTCCTCTCATGAGAAGAATGGGAGTTTTTTATAATTTTTTTTAGACTAACATGGCTTGTAAATAAGGGGAGGATCAAGGTCTAGATGGGAGAATTTAAATGGACAACCAATATTGATCCCTTTGTTCATGGACCGTTTATTGATCTTTTGAATATCTTAATGATATCAGAATATGGTGATCTTGAGCTGGTTAGAATTGTCTCATCGAGCCGCTCAATTTGACTATAAGCATGTCACGTATGGAATTCGTTAGGTAATCCAAATTATGTTTTGACCCTTTCAAATATGCTTTGGACTCTTGATGTGGGCTCATTTGGGCTTGAATTTGACTTATTTTGATGTCGGTGGGTTCGTTTTTTCCAAGACGTTTAGTTCAACTATAAATTTGCTAAAGTCGAAGTTTGGATGGTCCAGATTAAATTTCAAAAGCTTTCAACTCAATTTTGCTCAAGATTTGTGTCCGATGAAGATAAATTTTTGATAATATATCAATCATACTAGCATATTTTTTTATACTATTTTGACCCTCTAGTAATACAAATAAAATGAATTTATAAATCAAAGTTAAAATCAATATTTTATAATTTTTTAAATATATTTTTGGTAAGTATATTAAGTCGTCTGATTTAACTATTTCTGTACGTACATGCATTAATTTCATATATAATTAATATAGGCAAACAAATACAACCTTTATAACAACAGGCCATTATTAAATTATTATCAATCCACCAAAAAAAAAATCAAAAACGTCCATGATATCCATCATTAAAATCGATGGGGCACGTGGCATCAATGTCTCCACATCTTTCCCTATCAATTTTTCTTAATTTATATTTATGATAATAAATAATGATACTGGAGATAAGAAGTTTTATATTAATTTTAATATTAATATAATATTAATTATTTATATATTATACCCATTTAAAAATATCTTAATTTTTTTTTTGATATAATAAAGACTTATAATGATCAAAATTTTGATCTGAATATTGAATTTTTTTTCTTTTTGAGGTCTTGTTTGTTTTCCGTAATACCCACTTCTTCAAAATAATTTCTAGTGAACCTCGGTATTAATTATTTATATATTATACCCATTTAAAAATATCTTAAATTTTTTTTTGATATAATAAAGACTTATAATGATCAAAATTTTGATCTGAATATTGAATTTTTTTTCTTTTTGAGGTCTTGTTTGTTTTCCGTAATACCCACTTCTTCAAAATAATTTCTAGTGAACCTCGGTATTTTTGCCGATTTGAGAAGAATTTTTTTCTCCATTTGTTGTTATGAAAGCTCAGTTAAAAACGAAAATACGAAAAAATAGAGCCGAAAAATCAAGCAAGGCCTGAGTGTTTAAATATAGACTTATATATTGTATATGAGCTTGATGTTTTAATTAATCTCTTAATTGAAACTTTAATATCTTAATTAATAAATAAAGATGGGTACATATTCCCAACGGATTTAGGAAAGTGTAGCATCATTTAATTAATTAGTTGGTAAAATTCTTTATCAGCTTTCTTGAGTGCAGCTAATGCTTCTGCGTTATATTTTATTTTCGAAGCACAAGTTTTTCGAATCTCTTCTATAAATGGGCCAACCCTTTCCGTTCCCAATTTACAGTGTGAAGCAAGAAAGGCAATGGGCGCTACGAAGACAGCCGGTAAAAATCCTCCTGCAGTAAAGATTCCGACTCGGGGCTTTATATCTTCGGCGACGGAGACAGAGAAGGCGGCGGCGAAGGAAGACGAGGGGCAGCAGCTCAGCCCAGCGGCGAGGATTTTCCGGCAGCCTCAGTTCAACTGTCACATCATAGCCATTTTGGGGATGGGAAAATTCATCCGCGCCGACGAGCTGAAGGCCGGCCTCGAGGCCACGCTCGTCCGCCACCCGCGCTTCTCCAGCGTCCAGGTACGCTCCCCGAAAAGTTCTCTACACGTTTTCGACTTCTACATCCAGGGAATTATATGGATAACACAAAAGTTTTAAAATGTGTTAGACTGTAACTCGTTAATGAGCTAGCGAAGTTGGTTTATCGAGAGTTTCGAGCTCAAGCTCCAGTAGAATTTTAAGCTTGTTTGATTATCTTGGATTCGATCCAGCTCGATCTAAGTTTGAGCTCGGGATTTGACTCGTAAGTTGAGCTTGAGTTAAGGATGACTTGAGCTCAACTTAACTCATTTGCACCCCTAATAGCATGTGATTTACATGTATGACATAAAATTTATATGTATTTATATATCTAAGGATTTCGGGCTAAAATATTAGCGGCGGTAAAATATGAAATTTTACATTTGAGTATTGAACGATTATCCAGCTCACAAACAGAGAAAGAACAGAAACGCCAGAGTTTTTTACGTGGAAAATCTTGAAGGGAAAAATCGTAGGGTCACACTCAGTTGAAATGAATCCACTAATGTATTAAGTAGATTACAAATAATAGATTTGTCCTCAAACTTAAGGACGATCAAAATTACAATAGTCAACTACCAAGTCGAAATCTAGCAATAAACAGGGGTTGGATAGAAGTTAGGCGATAGTCGGTGATTGAGCAGAAATCCGATGGCAACTGGTAGTCGGTAGAAGCTCGGTGATAGTCCGATGACAGTTGGTGGTCGGGCAATGGTTGAGGAGGAATTTGGTGGCAAGAGAAATCTGATTTCTCTCTTTCTTTTGCTTAGGTCCCCTCAATGAAAACGAGGGATCTATTTCTAATTTTTTTTTGGAGTGGCATGCTCATTTTTTTTTGGGAGTGGCATGATCATTAAATTAGGAGAAGGTCAAGACATGTTGGGAGTGTTATAAGTGGACAGTCGATATCGACTCTCTTGATTGTAAACCATTTATCGAGTATTTGAGTATTTTTTAATGACATCAGAATTTGACGATCTTCAGCTCGTTGGATTCATCTCGATGAGTCGCTCGATTCGACTATAAGCATGTCGTGTTTGGAAATCGATTGGTCGTCCAAATTATGATTTAAACCTTCTACATGTGCTTCGGGTCTTCAATTTGATCTATTTGGGCTCGGATTGAGTCAAATTCAATGTCGTTGGGTTCGTCTTTTCGATATGTTTAGTTCGACTATAAATTTGATGAAATCGGAGTTCAGATAGTCCTAGATTTGATTTCAAAAATTTTAACTCAAATTTGTCTCACGATTCGTACCAAATCAAGTTTAATTTTTGATGATGCATCACTAATATTTAAACATTTATATTTATTTATATTTAACTAAAAATTTTAAATTATATAAAAATATTACTGATACTATTTTATTTAAAATTAAATATATTTTTATGTGCATATTTTGATGTTACATAGATATTAAAATAATATAAAAATTAAAATATTAGACATATAGATAAAAGAAATAAATAAATAATTTATAACATTTAGTAAATCCCTTTTAATAAATTCTTTATACATGTAATTGCCACTTTATTTTTGTTCCAACTCCTTCAAAATCTACAAATTCGCCAACAAACCTCAAGAATTGTATAATTTAAATTTAATTGAACCTTAAGAAAATTTTATTTTTTTCTTCTTTGATTTCAATTTGTAAACTATTTATAAATTATTCCATCTAAATAAAATGATTAAAAAATCGTGTCAGCACATTCTGACACAAAAATACAAAATTGCAACCGGATAAATTTAAAATTCTATTATGTGCCAAAAAATTTGAAAGATCTGTCAGCATATAATATTTTAAGAGAAAAAATCCTATTTTTTAAAACATGTGGTAGGATTTTTTTTTATTATTTTATTTTTTCATTTTATAGCAGGATATTATGTCATAATTTTTTCAACTATGATTAATACAGCTCCGAAAATTCAGTTTATTAATACAAATCCCTAGATAATATTAGAACTAAAGTTAAAATCACCCAAATTCTAATTTTAGTAAACTTATAATTAAATTGAATGTCTCAACGAGATAAACTCAACGACACTATAAGTGATCTAAACTGACTTCAAATGAGTTCAAAATCAAGATATTGATTTGAAAGCTTATGTGCATCAATTTGCAGATCGAACGATATGAAAATCATGTATGTTTATAGTTAAAATGAGCGACTCGATGATACAAATCTAACGAGCTCAAGATCATTCAATTATGACATCATTAAGGTACTCAAATGTTTGATAAACAATCTATGATAAAGGGGATATATATGAACTATTCAATGGAACATTTGAACGTTGGCCATAACCAATATGCTCCTCTAAAAAGGCTAATAGTAGGACCTAATTTTTTTTATAGAAGTAGAAATTCGAGAGCTAAAAGAACTAAAAAAATTTGTTGCATCTTTAACCATCACCATAGACGAACACATACCACCGCCATTGTCAGACTTACCTCATATGACTATTATCACTTGACCATTAAGATATATACTATTGTTTGTCTTTAACTGTATGCTTGTGGATATTCATTTTATGTAATCTCTATAATAAGAATAATACTATTGTTTTCAATTGTGTATAATTTCATTTTCCTTGGTTACGAGAAATGAAGGATTCTTGTTTCTTCTACTATATAGTAGATTATTGCAATTGTGTGAGACCCCATAATTTTTCTTATTCTTGGGTTTTCACTTAGGGGTTGTTTGGTTTCCTAAAAAAGGAATGCATTGTAAAAGGAATGCATGTAAAATGAATACTTTGGAGTTATTTGGATGATTATAAAAGGAATGCAGTTATTATTATTATTAATTTTTATTTGAAACAAAGTAAATGTTGTAAAAAAGTTGTGCCTAAGTGGCCGACGAGGGCGGCAGGGCGGCGTTGGCGGTCGACAGGAGGTGGCGGCAGTTGGAGGTGGCGGTGGCAACGGTCGGAGGTGAGCGATCAGCCAAAGGTGGCAACAGGCCGGAGGTGGGTAGCGCTATAGAGCTTGTGTCTCTGTTCTATAGTAACTCTGAAATTGACATGCAGCACTGCAGCGGTGGGTAGCACTACGGAGCTAGGCCACTAACAACATTTTTCATATATATATATATATACCTTTTCGTTCCTCTCCCACCTCCTCAGATTATTTTATTGATTGTAGGTAACTATCCTCTTACTTTTATTTTTGATGATTTTGATTTTTACGGATTTATCTCTCCTGGATCTGTTAAAACTAAATTATCTCCGAATTTTCTAAGTTTTCATTACATCACTTTCAATATGTTATAGATTTGATCATTATGAACGATTTGATATGATCTTATTATATTTTCATCAGTTAAATATGTGTTTAAAATTTTTCGGGTAAAATGTGTATAAAAAAGATCAACATACTGAAAATAGGATGAAAATGATGTATTATGATTGACATGAAAATACAAAAATTTGATATGTGATAAAATAATTGAAGTGATTAATATGTATGAAAATGATGTATTGATATGACAATGTTGTAATGATTGATATTTGATTGATGATAAGAGTATGGATAATCGTACTGATACCTCAATGATAAGATTACACATAATACTGCTAATATTGATATATATGATAAGAGTACTGTTAATATTAATATATTACAGATAATACTGCCAATATTAACATATATGACAAGAGTACTACCAATATTGATATGTTACATATAATGTTGTCAGTATTTATATATTACAGATATTACTATCAATATTAATATATATTATAAGAGTATTATATTATTAGTATTGATATATTACAGATAATACTGCTAGTATTGATATATTACAAATATTACTACCAGTATTGATATATATGATATATATGATATATATATATATATATATATATATATATAAACACTGATATGATTGCTTATTGACAAGATAAATCGAATGATACGATTGAGATTGATCGAATATGACTAATTAGGATTCTAAGGGGCGATTGTTTGGGAGTTATAAGTGCAGAAGTAAGATATCCATAAGATATTCTCAATTGAATATTTGGTATAGAGAATATTGATTACTAATACTAATTATTATTGATTACTGACATTGATTATTGAATATAGACTGATCAGTGTTATTGCTTACCATTATTGAATTCAGATATCGTTACTAATGTATTGTATAATTGATAGACTAACGAGAATAATTGAATGAAAATTGATTGTATAATAAAGACAAAATGATTGATTGATATATGTGACAAGTATAAATTTTCTTATATGATTTAAAGCATATTTTTCTCTTATGCCTTATATTGATTTCAGTTGTATGTTTTTTGTAATTGCTGAGCTACTCACTCATTGCATTATTTAAATGATTTTAGGTAAGAAGCCTTCGATTTGAGGCTTAGTTGGGATACTAGTGTAATTTTTATTCTACCTCTCTCGTTTATATATTCTTTTGTGACCTATAAAGGCTATTATATGTAATATTTTGAACTTTTTACCGACATAATGTAAATATTAACTACTACAGTAATGTGAACAATATTTTTTCATTATTTATATTTCTTTAATACAATTAATCAGCTATGAATGTTAAATTGATTTGGTTGTAAAGGATTATTGGTTATCATTGAAAAATAAGAAATCAATAAATGAAAAAAATAAAAGAAACAAAAATTCTTTCAGTTTACACAACTAGTGCAACTAGTCATTTTTGTGTTTCTCAGCCAATCCATAATTCTCCACCTACCATTGAAGATCGTAGTCAATGGGCGAAGGAGGTTGAAGAGACCGTTGTTGGCAAGCGATGACACAAGGAGGGACTGTAGTTGGTAGACGACTTCTACTAGAGATACTGTACTTGGTGGGTGATGGCGGACTGAGGGACCATAGTTGGTGGGTGATGGAGGTCGGAGGGACTGTTGTCGACATGTGACAGTAATCGGAGGGCCCGTAGTCGGCAAGTGACGGTGGTTGGAGGTGTGACGTCTCAAGATCTAACTTGGAAAGAATTATTCAGTCAATCCTT